CCCTACATCCAGCAAATCCAAGGTCCCCCGCCGCCTCAACAGCAACAAGAGGTTCCTTATTACTCTCAGCACCACCAGAGTCCCTACAGCACTAACAGTGCACCGAGTAACTACTCGTCCTCAGGTAAGTTTTGTTTTTTTCGTACACAAATCACGACGCGTCTGTCCATGCGCTGTGCGCATTAATGACGTCTCGACTTGGATGCCCCAGTCGTATATCCCGTCAAGCGGAAAATGGAAATCTAACTTTCCCAGAAACCCCAGAGCTCATGGCAGCCGCAACGATGAATCGCGGTGGATATCCACCCATCTCGTACCACACCCCGCAGTCAAACTCACCAGCATCTGTTCAGTCTCCACAGCACGACCAGCACGGCCGCCCAATCTATGGACAACCGCCTAGCCAGATGCCTCAGTCAATGTACTACACGCCATATGCTTCGGCCCCCGTACCTCAACAGTCGCCTTACCAGCAGCACCCTTCAAGTGCGCCTCAGCAACCAATGGCGTCGCAAACACTGCTCATGTCCCACCAGCAGAACCAGCAGATGCACCACCAGCAACAGCAACATCAACAGCAGCAGCATCCTCAGACTCCTGGAATGACTGGAAGTCCAAAGTCGCGAATGTCGCAGACCCCATTGCAGCGGCCGCCATCAGGGCTTGGCCCGCCACAGGCCCCGCCTCAAGGTCCTCCCGTCGGTACTCCCAACATGCACGCTGGCCCTCCCGGAGGACCCAATGTTAACCCTAATGCTGCGCCTGGTCCCATTCCTGCCACTACTCCGCTTGTTGTGCGACAAGACCAGAACGGTGTACAATGGATCGCGTTTGAGTATTCCCGCGACAGAGTCAAGATGGAGTACACCATTCGTTGCGACGTAGAGTCTATCAACGTTGACGAGCTCCCGCAAGACTTCAAGACTGAGAACTGTGTATACCCGCGCGCTTGCTGCGCCAAAGATCAGTACAAGGGCAACCGCCTTCATTACGAGACTGAGTGCAACACTGTGGGTTGGGCACTAGCGCAACTGAACCCATGCTTGCGCGGTAAGCGTGGGCTCATCCAGCGAGCCGTCGACAGCTGGAGGAACAGCAACCAAGATCCTCGATTGAGGAGCCGACGTGTACGAAGAATGGCCAAGATGACCACGAGGAAAGCCCAATCGGCTTCACATGGTAACCACATGGCTGGACCAGGTGGACCAGGTGCTCCCGGTGTTCCAAACTCTGCCGGATTAGCAGCACCACCCCGACAACCGAACATGGGCATGGGCGGTCCCCAGATGCATCATCACCATGACGGACCTGGAGGGCCCCACGGAGGACCGGATGATGTTAGCGGTATGTTTCACCAGATGTGATGTGATAAAGCGCGATTGTTGGCCTGTTAAATGATACCTCTTGTCGTTCTTTCTACATGTACATTACACACTCCTTGATGTAATACCCCCTTCGATACCACTGCCCATGCATGTTTGCAGATATACCCACACTCTATAGTTACACATTTGGTTCAGCGCAGGATGGCAAGTCGAGTCATGTTCGGACGTGCAAGCTAACTTTCTTTGTGTACAGCCAATGACTACGGTGAATCGCACACTCATCATCACCAAGCGCCAAACGGGCAACAGTCACCTACCGACGGGCGTCCCGCTCAGAACTTTTACCCGAATTTCCCATCGAGCGACTCCGTGGCAGGATCCAGTGGCATGCCGCCGATCCACGACGGATTGGGCCACCCTCCGCCTCCATCACACGCAGCAGGCGTACCGGTCTCAAAGCAGCAAGAGCAAGACGAAGAAGAGCGAAAGCTAGCCATGTTCGGAGACTTACCTGACTCGAAGCGCCGCAAGTTCATTCTTGTAGACGACGCGCAACGAGGAACTAGGGTTCGTGTGCGAGTTACTCTCGACACTGTCAAGATGGAGGAGATGCCCGACTCTTATCGCAAGTCAAACTCAGTCTTCCCTCGCAGCTACTTTGCTATGCAAATGACTTCTCCACCTGCCAGCCCTCGTGGCAGCAAGGTCTTCGCTGATGAACCCGACGTGGAAAGTGATCCCAGCTTTCCTCTCGCTGGTTCTACTGTTGTTCCTGTCCCAACTCTCGATGGCGAGACTCGTGTACCGAAGCCGCGTCTAACGAGGGCGAAGCGGTCGAAGGAAATTACGCTCAACGATCTTGGTTACCGCATGAGTTGGAGCCAGAGCCGTGTCTTCGCAGGCAGGACATTGTTTCTGCAAAAGTCTCGTAAGTGAATGCCTTTGGCACAATCAAGAGCAACCGACTAACCTTCAACAGTTGATGCCTACCGCAACAAGATGCGAAGCAGCATGATGGGTCAAGGCCAAGATGTTACCCAAGTAGCGCCACATTTCGAGACCCGTGTCGGAAAGAGGCGGTGGAACGAAAGAATCGAGAAGAGTAAGAAGGCGAGGCGCGATGGCTCTCCTTAAGAAGTCTCAGGCCACATGCTCCAAACGGATGCCCTGGTTGCAGGCAGCCGCCCCGTTGACCCACTTTCTCGGCACTTGCAGGGAGCCCCTACGAACGACCGGGGTCAACAACCCTTTTTCGACACAGTACCAAATCCTTCGCAACAGGCCCGGCTGTTGCTTACACCCATGTTTCATCATGGCTGTATTGGGTTTCAGGCTGTCGTCGTCCATCTGCCGATGACTGTTTCTCTCTTTTCGATACATCTCGACCACGCACCGCCGTCTAGAGCACTCGAGTAGTGCCTGTGATACCCGTCTGCAAGTTATGATCTCTTGCGACATGCTCGGTCGGTTTTCGGTCTGTCTTTTCCTCTCTGTTTATAGCCTGTTGATCGGTAAGCTTTTGTATGAACGGATTCAGGCGCTTGTGGTAAAAAGAGACATGGAAGCATTTGAAAAGCATGACTCAGGACGCCGTTTATGGCATGAGGAAGGAGTCTTGTTGGTTATGATTGTGTCTTCGGAATATGTTTATATTGCGCTTGCTTTGTCAGTATTTGGTAGATGGGCTAGCTGTTGCTACCCTGGACGTATAATAGACACTTCAAAAACAAACATACGCAGCCTGTGATTAAGTGACTTTGGTGGGATTGTGTTCCATAGCCCGGTTAAACTTGAAATTTAATTACCCATCGTGCAACGGGCGTCGTGTATCAAGATTCCCGGAGCATCCATCCCAAATCCAGACACCCAAGCAGTTCGCCTGCGATCCTTCCAAAGCACCGAACGCAAAAGAGAACCCACACGAACGGTCCGTCAGCCACTCACGATCAAGTTACAGCGGCACGGCACGCAAGCCCTTCCATGCAATGGTTAACGTGATATTGCCCGAGATAAAAAATTATGAATGTGTCGTTCGATGTGGTTCACTTGTCAAGGGGGTATCCCTCCCCCAGACGTTCGCAAATGCGGCAGGCAGACAGTGACAAGCCGGGAGAGCCTGGTCTCGCGTGGCTGAATACCACTCATGTCGACGCGTTATGTGCCTGGTGCCTGACTACTGCCGTTGTAAGAACATGGGTTTATTGCTTTTCGAGTGGGTAAGGGTGTGGGTAAGGAGGGTGCAGGGCCCGAGTGTCAAGATCAGGGACGCAGCGCAATGTTGTGCAACGCGACGGTGTTGGGTGTGGTAGTATAGGCTGATTGCGGATTGGTTTGGTGGTAGCGGACGTTGGCGTTGGCGTCAACTGGTTGGGGTCCACAAACTGTTGTGGCACGCGAGACGAGGTACGCGCGGAAAGCCAAACCGAACTCGTAAATCGGTGCTAGTCTGACAGAAGCCCCCCCCTAGAGCTGAAAAATATTCCCCGAAGTTGCAGCGATGGAGCTTGGAGGGTAAGATGACAGCATGCGGGATTAGCCTAGTTGCTTTGAGAAAACTAATACAGACCTCGTGGGCATGAAGATGACATGTATCCCATCCCTTCGCGCTGACTCCCAAGGCTTTTTGGCGTCGTGTGAAACATGTTATCCTCCGTCTTGAATTCCGTCTTCTCTACGTATAAGTCTTCTTCCTTCGGCAACTTCCACCGTCGTTGCATATCGAGGTAGCATTCCCATGCATCGAACGATTCCGCAGCCCCGACACCACCACACCACACCGCACCAAACCAAGAGAAGAACCGAACTCCCAAGATCTCTAGCTAACTAACCGAACCAAACCTAATACTACTACTAGCTCCTTCGGACAATCAAAGTCAGCCAGTCACAGTACTAAAGACACAAGATCACGCTAACACACCTGTTTGTTAACGTCCGGCGAGAACATCACAGACCGTTGGCACTTAGCACCGCACCGTTGAAATCACTATTCTTGTTTCTAGTTTTAGCTTGTCTTTGCACTTGTAACATGACTAACCATTTTGTTCTTTATGCGCGTCAAGCCGTTGACGAGGCTGGTGTGGTTGGTTCGTGAGCTAAGAGCTAGTTAGTCTTATTAGGTTATTGCGGGGCGCAAGCTTCGTCTACCAGAAGAGGAACGTTCTCGACCTGACGAGAGATGAAGATTGCCGCCCCGTTTCCTAAACCTTGCGTACTAGACATGTGGGAAGCAGGCAATATTAGTAAAACTAAAACCGAAAGCTGCGGGGAGTTTGCAGGATGCGAACACGACGTCACAAAGAGCACGCGACAGGATATGCTTTCAAGTTCGGCGCTTAGTCGTAGCCGTCAAGTGCTTAAAGGCCGAGGAAGTGGAGAAGAGATGCATGAATGGCTACCGAACTAGTATGTTACCCCGACTCCGATGTTTACGCGCGTTACAGCTTACGATCGGCTTCTTGTAAGCAGATAAGGATTTTCGATTCTTAGACCAACAGTAAGATTCCAAATAGGCACAGATCGTACGTCGACTCCGTAGATGTAAGCAAAGAATGCAATGTTCAAGTCTCTCGTCCTGTGCATAAAGTCGTTGCGAAGCTAGAATGAATTCAACGCTAACCTAAGTTCCTCCCATATGTCCCCCCTTGTCATTCACTCACTCCACTGTACAGGACTGTGCTATGGTATCTCAGTCGCGCTCACTACACGTGCGCGATCGCCACCGCCCATCTTTCTTGATTTCATAAGATTCTGCCTGTCTTGCTCTTGCGTCAGTCTCAATCTTTCCAAGTCTGCCTCATGCACAATTAACCCATCGATGATGCTGTACTTACTGATATCCGGGTCATCGTCATCGTCGTCTTCATCTTGTACCAACGGACGATTAGGGCGCAACTTGGCGAGGTTCCTATCGCCGTTGATGCGAGAGTGAGTCCACGAGTTCCATCCCGCGCCGTGCTTTGTGCTTTGTACCGCTATAGTGCTCTCAGTATCTGAAAGGTCGGCCAGCATCCCCACATTCTCTGCAGTGATGCCTTGATCTTCTGTATTGTTAGGAGCGGGTGTGATGGACATGCTCCTCATGCTGCCTCTGACTTGCTCAACTACACCAGTTTCAGGCGCTTCGTATCCATTTGCTTCGTCAACAGCGATGTCGTTACGAATTCTCAATTCGGTTTCGCTGAGTTGGGATATCTTCGCTGAGGCGTCAAGTTTGGCTTTGCGAGGGGACCGTGAGACTGGCACTGCTCGTGTAGTGGCTATAGGCTTCGTCGGCTTCTTTAACGCAGGTGTCGTTGTGGTTGGTGGAGACAACTGAGACTTCATGATAGATGCGTGCTGTGGTTGATTTGGCAACGAGAGTGCTGCTTGATAGTCGACCTCAGATTTCGGTCTTGACGTGGGCTGGAAGCCGTACCCGTTCTTGCCTTTGCTGAACACGCCTTTTGAGGCTATGGCCGGCGGCGGCGGTGGAGGAAACTTGGTCTTCTTTGTCACTGGCCCAAATTTCTCCACATTACCCTTCACGCTCTTGCACAACTCTTCTATAATAACGGAAGACCTAGGCTCATCGTCTTCAGATGGCGGAGTATCGTCACTCTCATCGCTACTTACGTCGATTGCCTTTCGCTTTCGTCTACCCAAGCACAAAGATGAGACAGAAGTTCGAGGTGTAGCTGACAAATCACATTGACTCTGTGTTATGCTGGAGGCACGATACGTTGAAGCTGAAGCTTGTGAGCCAGCACGCACATTTCTAGCAGCCCGCATGCTGTCCTTCGTGACGCTGGCTGGAAAGTCAGGTCTTCTGAAGCTTGTGTTCTTAGGAGCCATGGAACTTTGAGTTAGTGCGTCGGGAGTGTGAGAGGACCGTCTAGGTGGTGGAGGCATATTGGGGATGTACTGTTGTGGCCTTGGTGGAGCTATGCGATTATCAGCTACAGAATGAGACGTGGAGCAAAGTACAACTTACTTCGGGGAGGTTCATGCATCAACGTGTCTTCAGCACTTGGCTCCAGTGTCTGGCCTTGTCTGTAGTCCACGCTTTGCTGCGGTCGCAAACTGCCAGACTGGTGATGTAGAGGAGGTCTTGATGGAGCCAAGCCGCTCGACAATTGTACAACCTCTGAAGCAGAAATCGTGGGAGTAGCCCATGTAGAAACAGCTGAAAATGTACATGCAGAAGTGTTATCCAAAGTTCTCGAGACTGGAGCTCCAAATGTCCAAGCACTGCCTTGAAGAGACTTTTGCGTCTGAGTAGCTGGCATGTGTAACCCACTCGCTGAAACCCAACGACCAAAGCCACCCCCTTTAGGTATTGAGCTGTGCTGTATCGAAGGAGCAGCGATCGAAGCATCATGTGAAGCAATGGGCGAAGGATTTACTAGAGTTGGGGGCTGAGCAGTGAAGAGATCTTGTTCGCGCTTGAATAGCGATGGCTCTGGCGTGCCCTTGGCAGATTAGTATCGTTCTTAAATGTCTTCGCTATTTGCCAAGTTACCTGTTTTGCGCTTTTGTCAAACAACTCGAGACTCGCAGACGGAATAGCATGCTCTCGCCTTACAGCTGTCTCGATAATATCGCTCTTTTGGGATTCCAATATCGGGTCTTTCGCAATTGGTGGCGGATCCAGCTTCTTCTGTTCCTTTACCGGTTCATCGTCGTCGGAACAAAGATCAATAATTGTGACTGCAACACTTCTCTTCTTGCTTTGACGTGCTTGGGTCTTTGTGTTATATGCTGGCGTAGGTGTAGAAGTCTGAGGCGCTTTCGAGGTCACCGCTTGCGTCCGTTTGGGTTCAGGAGCAGCCTTTCGAGTTGGTGGTGCAGCTTGCTGACGATTGTTTCGACCTTGAGTCCTCGTCTTAGACGCTGCAGACTTGTTCGCACTCTTGCTCTTGTCTTTACTTGCCGCCCGCGCCTCAGTCCAAAATTCTTCTTCTTCCTTCTTGTGTTTGGCAAGAAGCTCCGATTTTGCCTTGTTTATATTCTGTAGGACTGTCTCGTACGCTTGCTTAGATTTTTGCTGGAAATCATATAGTTCGGCATTGTGTTTTTGTCGAAAGGCGAACCACAGTTCCTCTGATGGCTCGACATTGGTCTGTATCGGTGGCATGCTGAGAGCTTTAGCACGTCGTAACTGAGTTAGGGATGCTCAGTAAAGGTGAGGGAAGAGATTTTGTCACACCCAGAAGATAGTATCTAACTAGAGTGGTGATACTTCGAGTGAGGTGAAGACGGGGTGAAGGTGAGTAAGGTGTTTGCACTTTTGAAATGAAAAGCAGGTAAAGGCAGAATCTCCAGTGAGCATAGATTGGAAAATGCGCAGGTAAAGGTCAGACAGGTTCTCTGTTCATTCAGGTATAGTGTATTAAGGAGAAATAAACAGACTGAGACACAAACGACAAGCAACCGCCCTTCCCCAAGCAGCTATCCGCAACCGAGGGTGCAATGTAGAAAGAGGGCTCTTTCGCGATATAAACTTGATCGTGAACTGCTGAACCCATTGTGTGTGTGTATACCCCGACGCCGAGTTACGTGACATGAATCATCTGGTTCTCCACGAAAACGATCCAGACGTGGCTTCGTAGCTCTGCAGGCAGGCACTATTTGTGTGCTCGCATGCCTGGTACGTAGACCTCCAGCTGGGTCAATCTATTGTGCCTTGTATGTCATTGTCTTAGATCAGAAATGATTCGCAACGAAGCATTTCTGATCTGAGACAGTTGAGCATCAGGCTCGAGAAGACGGCTCGCGTTACCTCTGTTGAAAGCTATCGGGATCGCGGCAGTTCGAGCTTGCGTGCGCGCCATCCGCTTCGTCTCGAGGTAAAAGCTGAGCCCAATGGTCGTCTCCAAACTTGAGTTGATAATTTGGCGTTACCTCCTATTCCTTCATAGATACTTCTTCGCCGCTGTCGCAACCCTCTGCCTGAATACTGGACTCTTGATGACCTCCCCATTGCCGACCGCAAAGAACGGGTTCATGATAGTCTTGACCCACGCCTCATATACGTCGACCATGAAGTTCTTGACTGCCTCTTCCGTGGCTGGACTACTAGGATTGTACAGACCAGCGCCTCCTCCCAGTGCAGCCCTTCCGCCTGCAAGACTCCCTCTCGCGCCTCCAGCACCCCCGCTGGTCAGTCCTAGACTTTCATCCCGTGGTCGTGTAAGCAGAAGGAAGCGCGTGTTGCCGCCGGTAATCCAACACGATACAAAGCAGTTCTGATATTTATCGATGTGTTTGAGGTACATGGGTGCTGAGCCGCTGGAGGTAGAAGGACCCCATTGCACTTCTTCGACGATGTCTAGTGACGAGTGTAGGATGAATGGGACGAGAGCGCGCTCAGCAGGTGTGTAATTCGCAACGCCAGTGCCGCCACTGCGTGAGGTGCCGAAGTCGTGCGTAAAAAGAGGGACATCGAGGGGCGATAGGATGGAGAATGTGTACGACATGGTGTGGTGTTAGGGCGGAGGTTGGTATGCGTAGGGAGTGCCGGGCATGTGTGGTGTGAGAAGAGTCGACAATGGGTGACTCAATCGGCGATAGTCTTCTTGGCTCCTACGAACGTCCAGAAAGAAGTCACCGGGAGTCGTAGTTTGTACGGTCGCGAGTTTGTGTTTAGGGTTTAGCTATGCAACGTGTGGGGTGTTGGTGAGCTTCCCCACGCTAATCGGCATATCCGCCAAGAAAGTCCGCGGGAGTGTCTTTGGAAGAATATCGCGACTTCAATTGCGGCCGTCCAGTACCGCCAACCACAACACATCACCATGTTTGGTCCTTTCCGCCTCACAAACCCGCTATCGGGCGGCCTGTTATGGTGCGACTCCCTGTATTTCCCTGGATACCCATTCGTGCAGTTGCTCGTTCTCGCCCTCACGTTTTCAACGCCTATGCATTCTTTACTGTCGCCAGCTCGCTATCTGGACATGAATGCTGACAAGACTACAGGAAGATACCATGGCGCCTCTCTAGACACCAGAAGTACAGACATCGCGAGCGTTTACGACACGTCGACTCCGTGGTCGGCACACTCGATACCGCACTACGACGCATGGGGCAGAGCATGAAGAAGGTGGAGCGCTGGAAGATGGAGATGCCGACTGAGCAGGAGATGCTGCCCAAGGATAAATACACCGTCTTCGACCGCAAAGTGAAGAGGTATCGGAAGGGAATCCACAGTAAGTCGCATACTGTCAGCGCACAAGAATCCGCCTTTTTTTATAGCGGAAAGAGCGTACGAAAATCTGGCATCGATATGGTGGCTGACATTTCGCAGAGGTGCCAAAGTGGACAAGGGTCAGCCAACGACTCAATCCTCCGGGTTTTTAGACGGACCCTACGGCGAGCGACGGTCGCGCGTGTGTATACCATGTATTATCATACAATTTGCATCAGATACGGCGCCATGGAAAGAAAGCAACGAATACTCCCCAAATATGCACTGAGAATTGCATGCTCCTTGAGTGCAAACAGATACTTACACTGAAATTCGTAGACAGAAGGTTGTTCATTAAAATAATTACCCTGGCTGTCCTCTACTTGGTAGGAGGCTGCGGTGGGGGTTAGCCGTGACGTTCATGTTTGACAATTAGCGGGCAAGCAACTGATGCTCTATGCGATAGGATGCCATGACTTCGGCGACGTCAACGACTTGTACATCATTTTGTACATGTATTGCCCATGCATGCTACCGCGAAGGTTCACAGAGACCATCAACCTGCTGAACTGAGACCAGTACACTCTCAATTACTAAGCGTCGTGCTATATAGTACATGTCTTTTTATCCCCAGATAACGATACTTATCAACCTAAAATAACATTCCGAGTTCATTAGAGTCAAAGCCCATACCCTCGAACCCAAGACCCTGAGCATTCCATCCCATATCAAGAGGCAAGAAGCCATTCCACAAGGCTGCATCATCCGTAGGCGCATTACCCCCACCACCGTGTACTGCAAATTCATTAACAGCCCCTAGATCAGTCCATCCGAAATCTCCCATCTGCTCCGTAAGCGCCGGACTCTCACCCGTGCCATTGCTACTTGCCTGTGGGCTGGCGCCAACGATCGGATGCTGTGGAAAGCCATTCTGATCAACAGGATTACTAGCGATATGCGTGCCAGGGTGGCGGAATGAAGAGCGACTAGCCTTGTCTTTCTTTGGCACTTTTGCCCAGAGCAGTTTTAGGAGCTGAGAGTACCGGGAGCCTGGATGCTGGATACCAGCTCCAACCCCGACAGCGCTACGTTCGAGGCGTGCGACTGTTTCGTTGATCATGGCGCGGATGGCGCGATCTTCATCGGCGCTGATGACGCCTGTACAGCGAGCGCGATAGAGGAAGACACCTGCGTATACGAGGTAGAGATAGTACCTCAATGGCATGAAACGTAGCGAACGCTCGGGATCGACAAAGTTGTTCACGGTAGTGAGAATGGCTTTTGCGGCGTCAAGGCCTTCGTAGATGAAACGCGCGTCGCCTACTGCGCCTACGTTGTTTACAAAGACGCGTTGGGGAACTTGCATACGACCCGTTGTGTTGTTGGCTGGAGCGCCGGCTACGGGGTCGGTTGATGTAGATGAAGAGGGCAATGCTCGGAGGACGGTGGCCTGGAAGGCGAAGGCGTTGGTGTATAAACGCAGGTAGTCGTACGACATAAGAAGACATGCTTTGAGCGGCGGAGAGCACGTCAGTGTACCCCACACACTCTTCCAGCCGTATATTGCAGAGCGAAAATCATCGATGAACTTGATGTAGCTACCACTCATCTGCGATCGAAAGCTCGAACTGGGATTCGAGTACAAAGTATCGTGTACATTGCTGAACAGTTGTGTGAGTTCGAGGTTCGCTTGAAAGATGGAAGCATGGTCTTCTTCGTTGGGGCTTTTGGGTATTAGCGACGGATAATCCTCTCTGCGTAATGTTGTCAAAGGTCCAGGTCCACGAGACCAGAAGGCTTTCCCGATCCTGATGCTGATATGGCGATCTGACACATACGCCGCTGTCCAAATGAGGCGTTTGCGGTGATGATCTGGATCCTTGCCCTGGTCCACAAAGCGGAACGAGTACCGGTCTAGAGCAAGAAAGTAGGCAATCCTCAGGGCGAGACCAACATGCATCCAGCTCTCTTTATCTTCCTCCCCTTTGCCGACCTTGCCAGAGCCACGCTGTGTATACGGCGCCCACTCAGCTAGCAGAAGTAGGGCCTCTACAGCTTCGATACCCGCATCGCCTCCTGCTGCCAACATTGAGACAAGGCTCTTCATATGTTCTGAGCAAGCTTCGTAAATGTGTGGTTCGTCTACGAGGTCTTTGGAAGCGATGAGCAGGATAGCCGTGAGGAGGTGTTTCTCATTGTTCACCATGTGTGAGAGGTTGGATGTTTCGAATGCGTGCGCCGGTGCAAGCGGGTAATATGGATGGTATTGCTGTTGAAAGCGAACGAGCAGCTGGCATAAAGAGTGAACTGTGAGAATCCCCCGGTCTAGCAACGGGTACGAGAAGGACAGTGGTGCGGGCATGCTGAGAGAGGAGCCTCGCACATGTCCTATGCTGCTGGTGATTCCACTCCCATTATTTTCTTCATTCGAGCTCGACTCTCCAGCAACTCTAGCCAGTATGCCCAGCGCATCTGACGGGTTCTGCAGATTTGAGAACGGAAGCTCATCTGTGTTGGAAGAGTCGGACCGCGATGCCTGTAGCTCTTCACCAAACGGTTGTACGCCTGGGTCCTGCGACCATGTCGTTCCGAGATTGCCCAGCGTATGGAAGCTTCCCTCGGGCGCAGTCGCAGTAAGCGCAGGTAGCGGTTGCTGCGTTTGCGCTTCTGACTGCGATTGTGATTCATCCACGCGTTTCTTTTTTCGCTCGCGTCGTCCACCGCGATTGCTGCCACCAAGCACGCATTCGAGGTTGTCGCGCTTGCATCGAAGGCACGGTATGGAGTTGTCCGAGTCTCTACAAAGCCACGTTAGAAGAAATTTACAAGACACAAGGATTTAGACATGTTCATGCGTCGCATGTCGCATTGTGATCCGCTGCATGTCGCGTTCGAAAATGCTCACGCGCAAACTTCAGTCCCCAAGCGAGCTCCAAATCGCCGACGCGCGCAGA